ATAACCTCTTTTAGACCCAGACATTGTTAGATCGTAGATTGATTTGTATAAAACTTTTGTAAATGCCACATTTCTTTAAATGCTAGGAATTAATCGTGTCCCATGCCGTGACCATTATAGCCCACATACTGAGATAAGAACCACAAAATACTTTTACAGGCCCCACTAAAGTGTGTAGCTCCCATGGTTCACTGCTGAGCTGTTCACAGCTCTGGCAGCAGCACAAAAGCATCAGAATAGAAACGCTAATTTTTCGTCAAACTGCGCTCACAGTCTCTTTTGCCAACATTTTCTGAGCACATAACTAGACTGGAAAGTACAGCCACCACAATATTAGTTTCAAATTTCCCCATAAATTAGGTTAAGTCTTAAAAATCTGTGAAATGAGCAAATGATAAGCCTGACCTGGTTTTGTGTTGGGTTCAATGGAGCATTGCTGTCCCCGTCTCACCCCTTCCAAACACTGCTCATCTGTTCACTACATGGGAGCATGATTGATAGGCATCATGCTGCTTTTGTGCTCAGCTCTTTAGCATGTCAGCCCTTTTACTTTCTAATCCCCTATCTCCAGACATGCCATTCTCAGTTTATGGACAATATGACATCATACTACATGACCAGCATACTTTACTGAATGCTATAATAACTTTGTGCCCCTCAAATCTACTTTTCAGTCACCATTTGTGGTCTGACAGGATTTCTTTTTGTCGCCTAAAATAGCCTGTCGTCCCCTTCCTAACAAGGCACTGTAGTCGTGTGTTAATCGTGTCAGTCGATGACAGAGCTAATCCAACCCTTCCCCCTGGAGTCCAGGGCCAAAACTGCTTGAACACTGTGCTTACACTATTTCCACGTTAGCAACAAACTTCTCACATGGCACTGCTAGCCTTGTTTTTTATCATCAACGCTTGAATGTGTTTTGGTTGCTAAATTGCATTCATTTAGCATTGGTGGTGGCGCTGCATAATTATTTGGATTAATAATTCATTACTGCCCTTTTAAGACTTCCACAAGTCAATAAGAGATGATGCAACATGGAAATCTCAGTGTCCTGATTTGAATCTGTGCTTGCTTTGTCGAGTAAAATGCTATGCTAGCCAAGACATGTCCAACTAATTTTATTTTAATATTTGACAGTTCTTTTTTTCCAATTACTCCACTAGTCAAATGATTATTTCTAATGTAAACCAAATTATAACATTATAAATCACAATGTATTCTTTTTTCTCATTTTGATTTAATAACCGCAATATATTTATGTCAAAAGTTGTTTTTTTCTACAAATCTGTTTATGCTTTAATTAATTTATATATTATTATTTTGTTTTTGATTGTGTAATATCTTGTTGCAGTGGATGGTGACCTGTTTAACATGAGGGCTCTGACAGAATAAAGAGACACAAAGTGCGGGATGGAGTGGGGAGAGAGTGACAGAGTAGTAAATCCTCTTTCCCGGTTGACTTTAATCTCTCTGTGGGTCCAGCCTGCTGCTCCCAAGTCTAGTAGTACTAGAGTCTGTACAGTATAGCCTCCTTCATCCAGGAGAGGACTGGGCCTGGGCAATCTTCTCTGTCTGGAACAACTAAGAAAACTCATTAACTATCATTCAGGACTAGAGAAGTCAGTGACACATACCTAAACATTGTTGTGAGGGGACATAAATGCATGGACTGTACAGTAAGCTCACAGATAATAACTGCAATGGCACCATATGATTTCCAGTTTTTCATTACACATGCTGGAATAGTAAGAGAGATGCCAGTTACAACCCTGAATTTTCTAAATAAGTGGGACCAATGACAAGGGTCTAAGTGGCTAAACAGGATAATCAAAAAAGGGACATAACTGAAATAAAATCATATTCATTTACAGAAAAATGGTCAGTGCTTGAATTTGAAGATTGGTGGTTCAGCATTACAAAATCCTCTTAAACTATATTTCAGCTGCTAAGAATATTTGCAATTCAATAAGTCTCTTTCTTTGTCCACTCTAATCATTGTTTTAGTCAAGTAGTAAATAAGAAAATAAGCAGTATAATTGTGCTAGTCACGTCAGTTTTTTGGATTTTGGGTGTTAGCAGCCTGGACAAGATGAAGATTGCAGCAAATGTTTTGGAGTGGTGAGAAGAGCACAGGCTGTTCTTTAGACATGTGTGAGTGGCCACATGATGCAAAGAGATGAGCAATCAGCGCCTGATCAATACCAATGCAGCCCAAATGACGGAGACGAGTGGAAGGAGCAGTTACAGAAACATGTTGGTGTTATTGACGCGTGCGACCATGCTCTGTGTTCTGCTGTTGGAGCTTTGGAAATGTGTGATGACAGCTTTCAAATTGAGATGTGATTCATAAGGACTGTTGCTATTGACTACCTACCAGTTTAGGAACTCACTGTCAGTAGGTTAACATGCCCAATCAGGCACACTCCAAGTAGAAACAGTCAACTTACAGGTAAGACAATACTCAGACTACAGATACATGTTCTTCGGGGTATTTTCTAGCAGTTAAAACGCCTGTAATTGAATAAATGCAATGTTGATCAGTTTTATGCCATACAGTGGAACGTCAGATAAAGCAATCACATTTCAAGTTATATTGTGTATCCTTTAAAGGTCCTATGTTATGCTAAATTGACCATATTAGAATGTTCATCAAAAATCATCAAAAACATACCTGGAGTAGTGTTTTGTTTCATTCACACATGATTGCCTGTTTATTATTAGTCTACATCTCTAAAGCTGAAAATGCTCTGTTCCACTTTGTTATGTTAGGAAGTGGTAGTTTTCATGTTAACAACTAACTTTCACATTTTGTTTAGTAGAGATTGAAAATTCCATTTGTTGAGTTTAAAAACACATTGAAGCACTTAATGTATTACCACACGATATTACAAGATGGTCTCTGAGAGAAGAACTCAGCCTAAATATGCAGTTGTGTGTTAATTATGTGTGTAAATGAATGAAACAAAACACAACTCCATGTATGTTTTTAATGAGGAAAGGAAGTATACTGCTACTTCTTTAATCACATCTAACAATTAACTGTGTAACATACATTCATGCATAATAGAGTTATAGGCCTACACAATGACCTTGATGATTCCTTTTTTTTAAAAAACATATAAATCACATTCCTGTGGAGAGATGACACATTTTTCATTAGATGAGTCAGTCAACTATGACATCTGATGTAGGCCCTGGAACATATAGCATTAATATGTGGTAGTACTGTTGCTAACATGCAGTGCACTACATAGTATCAGAGATGCTTAAAAGTTAATATGGGTTAGGGCTGGTAATTCATTTGATATCTGTGATGTTTAATGTCATTTCTGCCATGCTTCCAAACAAAAATAATCTACATAAAAATCATCTTGATCTGATCTGTTGCTTCAATTTTGTCTAACTATAGGAACTGAGATTCAATTAACCGTACAGTATGCTGTAAATATTACTAGTTTATCATGTTTTTCTAATATTGTTTATCTGGTTTATTGTCCCCCTTCCATTGCTATCAGATCTGTTCTGCCAACATCAACCAAATGATGGCAATGCAAAATGTAAACAACCATAATGCAAAAGAAGGCTGATATCCAGAATTAGAATGTGGCTGTATTTTCCTCTCCCTTTCGCCCTTTGCACATTCAATTATTAACTGCGCTGTCAGCTGTGGCACGATGTGGGTGGAGTCAGACTAGAGGGCGGGGCCGGACGTTTTATAAAAAAAACTCCAGCTGTGTGTCTGAGTGACCTTGTGCTCTCAGCTCTCACCGTGATTGATGATGCTTCCAAGCACCTATGTGAAAGAGAGTGGTTTTGCTTTGTCATATAAAGTCCACAAGCATTTAAATAGGGGATTTAATGTTATAATCTTAGTGATGTAATGGGTATTTTCCCTTATAAGCAACAGGGGAAATATGATTTGCTGTAATAAATGCGACAGTTTCCTCCCATTGGACGCAGTAGCAGATTAAGTCAACAGTCTATCATTCTCCATCGCTGCTCTGAATGTTGCCATAGATTAAATTAGATCAAGCTTTAATGACTCTTCAACTGAAGGCTGCCAGCTGGTTAAATTTATATCAATGACAAGCCCCATTACAGTAAGAACTTATCTACATAATGTGAAAAAAGAACACAAATTGCCCATTATAGTTCATTAGAGGCTTATGTTTTCTATTGGCAGGAGCATCCTAGGGTCAGAAAAGTAAAGGTAAAGGATAATTGGACCAGACAGAGAGGGGTGTCACCTTTGTTCCAGTCAGTAGCTGCAGCTTGTAGCCCCTGCAGACTCAAATCCACATGTATTTTTCATAAGACAGTCTATGGAGTGGAAATGTGTTGTGTGAAAACTGCTGAACATGTGTCTGAGAGCAGTCTTTGACACACCAAATATACCTTTTTAAGGCTGTGTCAAGGATATACATGCATTATATCCATACATGTGATTCCCGTGTTTGCCCCCAAGTATAGTCCTCGGAAAATAAAATAAGATTCAAAGAAGTATTACCTAACTGTTGTTTGGTACAGTACAATTGTATCCATGGGATTTCAAGTGAGTAAAACTTGGACCATCAGTTAACATTTCACATAGAATAGGACAAAAATGGTGTGCCTAGCATGAAAAAGTCAAGTTCTGAAACCAGTGAATAAACCAGTGAATAGCAAATAGTAATTAAGCAGTTAAGCAGGTAAAAAAAATTGATTGTAGCATCCAAGAGCATAAATTTTGTCTCAGTTTAATTAATGTAGGCCGCTTGCTGGTGAATATAGTTGCACAAGTGTTATTGTTGTGAGCTTAATAATCATTGAGGTAAAAGAAAAGACTCTATAGGCTTAGCATGAAGCTATTTAAACTTGCTGTTGTCCGTAAATAATAAGTACAGAACTATTCTTGCATTCTATTAAAAAATATTCAAAATTTGGTGCCAGACAGAGCTTTTCCTTTGAAACAGTAATACTTGCCAAACTTGCCAATACTGATTTCTGCGTCTCTTTTGCAGTATTTCACTTTTGAGGTCCAAACTCCACAGTTACCATGGCGGACGAAGCGGACATGCGTAATGAGCTAGCCGACCTGCAGACACGTGCAGACCAGATAGCTGACGAGGTAACATGGTTCACTCTTATTTTAAAGATTTTTTTTTTTCTGGAAATTAGTGCACAAATCTAGCTGCAGTCATTTCCTTTGAACAGTTCAGACAATCTGAATCAGGAAAAAATGCATTAGTTTGCCATCAGCTTTTGGAACAAAGCGTATTTGAAATTAAATATAGGAAAAATGCAATGTTGTTACCCACATAGAGAAACCCCTGTCACTCTTTATATGTAGACTACTAGTATGTGTTACTATTTTTGTAAGTCGTAAGTACCCCTCATCATGTGGGGTCCTTTTGGTGAAGGGCAAACTAAACCTATGTTAATGAGCAAAAAGGAATTCAGGAAGGAGATCATTTTAAGCACAGGAATAATAGAGCAGCTCAAATGGCATTATTAAACATTCATGAGCAGATAAAGCAGAGCCAAAGAGCTGTGTGAATATGACAGAAGCACAGGAGAGCTGATGGATGAGGGCCATAGGGGCAGGAGGAGCAGAGACAAGTGAAAAGCAAGGATTATAGATCAAGAGGATCTATGGAGATTATTAGTTCAACAACTACTTTGGTGATTAATAAGTTCATAGAAAATAATATGTGATTGTGTTTTATTTCATTCATAAATTCACTAGTTTCCTGTCTCTTTCTCTTCACACAGTCTCTGGAAAGCACTCGGCGTATGCTGGCATTGGTTGAAGAGGTGAGTACCTTGTTACTATAGCAAAATACATACAAGTTGCAGCCACTAAGCTGATAGCAAGGGTAAAATTGTTGTGAGAAAACAAGCAAGCAATATGTTGGATAATTAATGAATACATAACATTAGTATGTTAGTAACCTCTAGGGACACCAGCTGCAATTTTTTTCACTGCCAAAACTCTACACACCATGGTACTACATGTGTTATTTATGTGGCTCTATTTTACTCCTATTGAATGGAGTCAGTTGAGGTCACATTGAAACGGTAGATTCTAAAAAGTCCTTGAGTAGCGCCGTGTAGTGCTGAAGGGCAACAGTGAAAATGTGGAAAATGTCAGACACTATTAGATTGTCATGGTCCACACACAGCCAAAATTGTGTCCTTTGAATACTTAATACGTCTTCTTATCTAAATTCACCTTTGAAATTATTATTCACTCAGAGAAATTTGCTGAAAAACGTCCATAAGACACATGAAGGGACTTGATTTTGGTTGCATGGATAATGTCAAAACCTGTGGGAGGTATTGTATTAGTCATTATGTAGTTTAGCAACATTTTGACCACCTGGAACTGTATGTAAGATTTAGATTTAAATTCCATGAACATGAGTTGTGTCCCCACATATGACATGTCCAAATCAAATATAACCTTTATTGATATCAGTAGTAATGTCAATTTATTCTTAATTACAAGAACATTGGACATCGTGGCCAAGTTGTTAATGTTATAATTTGGTGTTTTAGTTCTTAAGATGAACACCTAGTATGAAAGCAAAATCAGCCTCACATGAGTCTTATATGTGTCCCCTAACTGCCGGTTACAGGACCTTCCTTTCAGTCAAATAAAGCAAACTGAAATGTTCATTTATTTCTATTTAGCATCACATCAAACACCAAGACTTCTCCAGACAAAGATGGTGGGTTCTTTGGTTTTGCCTTGCTGTGGACTGCAGTGCAATGTTTACTTTACTTCTTCCTGGCATTCTAATGCTTTAAACCAGCAGCATGAGTGGATCTGTATCCTCTTTTTTAATTTTATGAACTGTCCTAAACCTAGTGTCTTTAATGCTGGCCTCCACAGTGCCTTATCATCAGCCCTGACCTTACACCTGCAGGGGCTGAAGAAGCGACCTTTAAGGATAATGCCAAGGAAGAGTCTTTTGTTCCCTCCAACAGTTCCTACACAGTTTGAAAATGCCACTGCACCATTGTTATCTAATTGTATTGTAGTTTCTATACTAATTTAGAACCATAAGAAACCTGTAATACAAGTATTTAGTAAGTAACAGTAAAGTCCTGAGGCTTAACGTGACTTGGAAAGTGTGTGACCCAACGGTGCACTTTAAGTAGGAAAACACACGTGCCCTCCCTGCGTGACCCCTGCCCCTTTAAAAAGGCTTATAGTGAAGATTACTGAGCACTAACTGAATAAGTGGAGAGCTTGCAGGCAGCAGCAACAGTGGTATAGTGATCACCCTGATAATATAGATCACTGTCTGCTTGTTATAGGTTGCTCTGCTCCTGATAGTTTGATGATATAGCCTACTATATACTGCAGGTATTGAAAATTTAGGTTTTGCTGTGTTGTGCAGTGCTGTATTTTTATTTATTTATTTTTTCTACGTAATCTCAAGTTCTGGCACTGATGTTAACTAAGAATGATTTGATAGCAATAAAATTTCAACGTAGATTTTGGAAAGGTTTCTAAGTATAAAATTTGTTGGATGTATATGAACTAAAGCTCTCTTTGTGGACTACGGCTTAGATCCAACAGTGCTTAACAAGAGACCAATTTCACTTGATAAAGCAACAAATTGGCTACTTAGTTGTGCCAAATAATTTAAGAGGAATGTTTTAGCTCAGTTAACTTGACTTGGCTGAAAGAGAAATTAATCCTGAATTGAAACATTTGAGAGCATGTCTGAGCACTATACTTGCTTTTACAATTGTAAGACTGGATTTGCACCTTGGCAGTGGTCTGTGCTCTAGGCATGCTTCTAGCTTTGATTCTTGTTTCCTGTATGTTTATTTACTTTCCCATTATACCTTTCTCACAAATGTGTTTTGTTCAGAATTAATTACAGTCCTCAAAATAACACCAAAAGCTGATTTTGGAAGTAATATGCAAATCCTTTTACTTTTTATTCTAGACATAATCCCATAAGGAGCACACCCACCTTGTTACTCTTCACCCGCCACGTATGTAGTTGATTAGTCAGTAATTGAACATATCCATAACACATCCCTCCTCTGTCCGCCTGTCATCCTAATACCTATGGACTGATGCATAGAGTCTCATTAGAAATGCATAGAGGGCAATGGCTTTAGGATTTACAGTTTGCATTGGTAAGACTAGCCGCCTTTTATTACCTTATTGTCCTTATGCAAGTAGGTAAGTGGCCAAACTGTACCAGCACTTGCACTGAGTGATGTGATGTGCCCTTGTCTCATGCAAATGCAGCCCATAATTCTTTTAGTGCCACGGCGAGCCCTGACCTTTCATACGGTTGAGAGCGGGAAATGCTTGAGTGCTCCTCCCGCTAACACTGACCCATGTGGTGTCTTTCTGCTACATCATGTACAGTGATTAGATGAAGGAGAGAGTGCTGTTAAGAAATGAGCTTGTAAAAATGGTAGCAGCCTCCGCGGCTGGCTCATCTGATATGGCACTGCAGTGTGATATTGGAAACCTATTCAGTGACGCAGCAATGAAGAGAGTCAAGTTTTTTTGAGAAATGTTATCTTTGAAAAATGAAATAACAACATGCACATTGTTTATGAATAAAGCATGATTGTAGTTGGAAAGAGGCAAAATAGCTAGTGCCCTGAACTCTGTGTGCACTGGTTAACCTCATAAGCCTAAGGGCCTTATTCTCAAAATTACCATTGTATGATATTTTAAGGTATTAAGATCTGTGGAGGGGCATTAAAGTGGTCATTCTCCAACATATTTTAGTATAGCAATTATAAATAGCTTTTTAAATAATTATAAAAAACACAATAATTCTATCATGCCAATTACACATATTTCTTATTTTAGTGTTTTATGTATATGAGCTTCTCAGCATAACAATCAGTGGGTTAGCAGGTTTGTATTTCCACCATCACTTTACAATGTGTATTCTTTACAATACGTACTTACATACAATCCTCTTTTTACATCAAATTATTATGAGATGATTACAACATACATCCTTGGCAGTCCTTAGCATACATTTGTCCACTAGAGGTTCAGCAGGTAAAACATGTGACTCACAACAGTGCTTCCCTCTGACCCAATTAGGATAGATTCCAGGAGACAGGCTAGTGGATATCTCAATGGAGGAATCAATAGCAAGATACAAGGAACTTTGTCTAAATGTCACCTCATGCAGTGTTGCTGTGTAGTGGCCCTAATGCTTTTACATTGTGATATATGAAGACTTTACACTGTGCTAGCACACTATTTACCTTTTTATTTAAAGAGTTTAGATTGAAAACTGACCATTTAAATATATTATTGCTGAATGTGAAATATCAAATAGTCAAAGAAAAAAAAAATACATTGGTCATTTAAATATAGGCCAAGTATACTGTACGATAAAGGTGCACTATGTAACTTTTCTGGTGGCGTCTGCAACCTGCTTATCTCCATGGAAATGTTATTCATTTTCTTGCATGCAGTATTTGAGAGTATGGCAGTAATTCATTTATTTAGTTATGACTGATTTTACTGCATCATCAATATTTATGAAAGCATGCATTCTTGTGAGCGAGGTCTCCTCTCAACACATCTGACGTGTTACCTGGCCCGGTGGCATTACCCGCATGGCTCCATGAGGATAGATGAGTTTAATGCTACACTATGAAACATTCCAGGCAACACAATAACATCACTATGGAGACAAGGAAGTGTTATCATATAGTGATATATAGGGCACATATACTGAACATGTGTTTCTGTTGTGGATTTCTATCATCACACTCAGACCCAAACTATATGATTTGGTAGAGATCTTGCTTTCAGGGTTTCTAGTTTTAGCCTACTGTATTTCAGTCCAGTCAATATTTCCAAGACATGGTATCTCATTTATCGGCAGCAGATTGCTTCACAGTCACAGTTTGATTGATACAAATATCAGTGTCAGTGTGCCTACACTGTACTGGCGTCTATCTGTCCTCCCTACATGAAGGTCAGTGCACATTTTGATCTGAAACTGTTGATGCGTGAGCTAAAGGGTATTTGGTCTTAATATCTTTCAGAGCATAGCCAGAGCATACCACTATACTGGTTACCATTGTTATTATACAGTAGATGAATGTCTACGCTTTAAACTCCATATATTTAATTTGTGTGCCAGTTTGCTCTCTTATATTACTGGAGATTTGTCATTGTCAATATCACCTATTTGGTGTCAGCCCACTTAACACAATGAATATGTTGGGACAAGTTTCTATTGTTGTGCTTGGGATGTAGTACTTCAATAAGTGTACTTGTCTTCCAAAACAAAGTAGTTTGGAAGTAAATGGCACTTTCTCCATTGAGTAATAATGCATCAGTCTCATAGCTTCAAGAACTTAGTCATCGCAAGTATAAATTTATAGATTTGAACCATCAACCTCCTGAGCCACACAAAGTTTATATACAACTATATGAAACATTACAATAGTCAGTAACAATATAACAAAGACTTTATAATGAACAAATAGTTTATTAAGGATTATTCAGGTTTAGTAATTACTTTAATAATTGCCCTGATCCTAACTCCTAACCCTTAATTTAAAGTCCTATATTATACTAAATATAGTCTTGTGAGCTTTAAGCCATGTTAGAATGCTGTTTCTTTGTCAAAAACATACCTGGAGTTATGTTTTGCTTCATTCACACATTTGAGTAATCCTGGCTACATCTCCAAAGCTCAAAATGCTCTTTTCCACCTTGTGATGTCATGAAGCAATATTTCTCAATTTGCAGCTACCTTTGAGCTTTTGTTCACTGGAGACTGGCAATTTCAGAGCTAAAATCATCCAAGTGTTTCTAGTGAAGGTGTATGGGGTTTTAAAGCACAGAGAAGCACCTCCTGTATTACCACATGGCATCACAAGATGGAGGATTTTCCGCTTGAGTGAATAACTAAATATGCAGGGTTTGTGTGTTAAACAAAACTCAACTGCAGGTATGTTTTTGATGAGGAAACAACAACATAACAAAAATCAGAAAATAGCATAATATGGGCCCTTTAAGTAGTTACTGAATCATTTTTTAAAATAAAACAAGTACAATTTTTGCACATCCTTTATTCAGAATTAGTTATTATAAAGTACTTAATCTAGTCTAGATTTTTTAAAAAGCCTGCCAATAAACAATGCAACATGCAACATATACTATTCAGGTGATGAATGTAAGATATATAGTTTAGAACTTCTCATGTGAAAATAATGTTAATAATAATGTTATTCCCATATACTATAAATGTGTACCAAAAGCATTTTTCTTTCTGTAATTTGATGCTGGCCTGCTGCTCTCACAGTTGTGTTGTCTCAACTGACCTTAACTTATGCAGTGTCTTTTTCCTCTTTTTCCTCTTTTCCTCTCTCTCTGTCTGTTAGAGCAAAGATGCCGGCATCAGGACTCTCGTCATGTTGGACGAACAGGGAGGTAAGTTGTTTCAAGTAGAGATTGCTCACCACAAGCTGTCCAAGCAATTAATCTTAATTATGTGAAAGTACATAGTAAATTAACCTATATTTCTATGCAAAAAAGTTTAACCTGATGACCATTAAATTCTTTATTTATCATATAAAACTCTGCTAATGATAAAACTGATCCTTATACTACTACTACTACTACTACTACTACTACTACTACTACTGCTACTATAGATATAATTTACTTCATTACCATATTACTATTGCCTATTGTTATTGATGTACAAAGGTTGTATAGTTTAAACTCTAGCTGCCTTTTGGGAGATAGTCCATACTTTAGTTTCTTTTAATACACTGTTCTAAGAGTTGTGCAATATAAGACCTCAGATATATATTTTATACAACTTTTAGGTAAGCTGGTGCTCAGTTGCATGTCCAGTAGAGCTAATTGGCCTGCCAATTGTACATGCCCCCTCTGCCCTCTATGTTCCTCTCCATACTCTGCCCTCCAGAGAAATGACTACCACTGCCTGAGCTCATGCCATTCTCATAAGACTGCAATCAATTCTTAGTTTTAAATTACCTCTCCCTGCAGCTGAAGTCCTTTATACACCATCCTCCATTTATCTCACTTTTTCTTTTTTATGCTGAATATTTCTCTACTTTTGTGTTGTTTTGGCTCATTTTTAAAATTATTGCCAGATTTTAGCAGAACACATTACAATAAACAATATTCAGTAGATGACTATGCAAACTAATGAGTGTTGCTCAAACTATAACTAATAACTGGGATTGTGTATGTGTATATTTATGTGCATACACATATGCACATAAATATAAGAAAGTATAGTAAAACAGTAATTTGAATAAACATCATCAAGGACTGTGCCAATGTCTGTTCCAATGCAGCCAAGAAGCTAAGGGAACAGCGTGTTTTGAAAATGATTTTTGGCATACTTTCTTTCATGTCTTAAAAATGTTTCTACCAGAAAAATCAGCCCAGTCCCACATAATGAAAATCTTCTCTTCATATAGCTCATGTTTACCTGTGTTAGTGAATAAAAGTGGCACACACAAGTGATGAGCTCATTGTTTGCCTTCACTCTACCTAGGTAACCATCAGGAAGGAAGCCCTTATTCTGTAATCTCAGTGGAGGGGAGGAGTCTGTGTTGCTACGGTTTCTAAGGCAGTTCAGAAGAAGCATGACATAAACAACTTCTACTTTAATTTTTTTCCTCTCACTTCATGATCTGCATTTGGGACCATAGTCCTATATATTTAAATTGCAATAGGCAGTAATGTTAATTAATGTTACTGTGAATGAATTCAACACAACTCAAATGGGCAAAGGATCTTTGGAGAGTCTTCCAGTTCAACTTTGGTAAGGACATGATGTAATCATGTCTTCAACCTCAGTTCCACCTTGAAGCCGTAACTTTTGCACATGACAAAGATTATTGGCTACACTCTCCCACACTAGAACCATTAACCTGAGAGAACGCGCCTTTGACCTTGAATGAGAGCTTTTTATAGTCCGTATGTGATGGGTATACAGGGTGACTTTGTGCATCTATGCCCCATTAGAACATCCCTACTTTGATTTAGATCTCAACTGTCTATCTAGAACAATGTCCCTCTAAAATTTATATTTGATATTTATATTTGATCAAATTCAAACAGCATGTTATTCTATCTATATGGACTACTTAGTGATACCTCAATCTACATTTAGCAACCATGCAAGAAATTTGTAGAGACAAACTTACCCAAAGAAACTGCTCGAACCAGAACCCAGAATGCAACACAAGAGCAATAGCGTCAGAGGTGGGCAGAGTAGCTAAAAAAATTTTATTCAAGTAAAAGTGTAGTTACTACTAATATTACTATAAGTCCAAAGTAATGGTCCAAGGGTGTTTTCACACCGACAGTATTTGGTGCGCACCAAACCAAAAGTGGTTAGTTCGGTTCGTTTGCGTTGGTGTGAACGCGTCAATCGGACTCGGACCCGAACCAAATCAAGCGGACCGAGACTGCATAAAAGAGGTGGTCTCGGTTTGCTTGAATCCGCACCAAATGACCAACTTTGGTGCGGTTCCTCTGGTGTGAACGCGAACCCGGGTCCAAACCATAGACAGTAGGTCCAAACGGACTATTCGAAATGCATCATGAGAGGAAACGCGTCTCCTCTGCCTGAAGTGACGCGCTGTACGACTCCAGCGCAGTAACAGATTGTTGTCCAGACGCAGCAGCGATTCATTTTCTAATTATTTTACCAACAATGGCCAATACAGAGAATGTAATACACAAAGATCAGAGCAAGTACCAGTGTGCGATCGTGTGGCTCCAGAGTGAGTCAAAAAGAGAAGCCCCGGTGTTTCCCGTGTTCACGTAGCAACCAGCATTTGTTATTTTAGGCTTCAATTAACCAAATAATTTCATGGCAATAGGCAATAGCCTATTCAGTTGATACAACTTTAAAAAGTCCCTGTTTTTAGCCTAGTGTGAGAAATACAGTCGGACTAGATCCAAACCATAGTCCCGAACCAGCGGGAGCAGCTCCTGTTTAGGCCGGGCTCAGAGGAGCTGGAGCGGGGAGCCTCGACCTGAGGAAGCGCTTTCCCCGGGAAGAACCAAATGCGCCAAGGACTGACCGTCAGAACAACATATAACAAACCAAACTGGACTCACGCTTCTGTCCGGATGCTGCATTACCTCGGAACCAGCCGCGATTCTTGAGCGCGGAGGACCGGAGTAGCCCGCACAGACCTGTAGGTAGTCCACAGCGCATTCTCACTTTCCCCGCACAGAACCAGCGCGCAGACGACGGAACATTCCCGCTTAGACCCAGTCCACTGCGCACTGGTCTTGCTCGCCACCGTTTGGAACCAGCACATGAAGGACAGAGCCTCCGGACTTACCTGACCAACGCGCTTGTAGGACGACAGAAGACCAAGGACCAGACCCCAGCCCCGTCCTGAGGAGCTGCGCGCTACTGTGAGCGCTGTTGGCTGCTGCTGTTACCCGAACTCAGGACTGATGTGCGGTGAGTTTGAACAAAGTTCTACATGTTGCTGTTTTATGAGCTCATGATGATCATTTGAGATGAGGACGGCCCGTGGTTTTAACAGGAACATCGGTGTTGATAACTGGAGGTATCCCCGAGACACTTCAACCGAACCAATTTTGGTTCGTTTGCCGGTGTGAACGCGGACCACACTGGAGTGTATTTGCTACATAATAACAATTTTATTGCCTGGTGCGGACCAAATAATCGAACTACCGGTGTGAAAATGACCTAAGAGTAAAAATCTACTAATGAGTAACTGTCTTAATTATAATTTTAATCTAAATTCTATTTTAATGTTAATGTAATGGAAGGACAAAACATCACATTATGCACACAACTGTATATTTTCAAAGAATAGACTACAAAAATAAGAAAAAGAATTCATATCTGAAGGAGTGGTGTAAGAAACACAAAGGTTCAAATCATCTGATATTGTACAGAAAGCTTAACATAAAGTCAGTTGTAGGCTTACTCACAGTGGAAAAAGTAACCAAACCTCTTCTTAAGTAATAGTACAGTAACTATTCCAAGATGTACAGTTTTATTACAAAGTTATTCAAGTAAATATACTACCCACCTCTGCATGTTCAGCCTTCTTATGCACCTATTGCCTTGCTTTGTCTTCTGCACTGTGCCTTCCATACAATAGTGTACTTTAGTGCAGCATCCCTCCAAAGAAAGCTAGTCCCATTAATTTCATTTGCTCTCATGGCTTTGTCCTCACCAGAACAACTTGATCGTGTGGAGGAGGGCATGAACAAGGTCAACGCAGACCTGAAGGAGGCCGAGAAAGATTTAAAAGATATAGGACAATGCTGTGGTCTGATATGCCCATGTATTAAAAAGTAGGTACCAGCCAGGAGCCCCACGTTCTTACCTGTCCAGTGCTGGTGGTGATGGTGATGTCACATGTCTATTTTGTCACAGTCAATGTCTCTTTTTGTCTCTCCCTCTTTATCCCTTCAAACCCTGCCCATCCCGATACCCCATCCTTTCTTTTCTCTCACGTGCTTCCGTTCTTTTGCTGGGAAAATGACAATGTGTTGGTAATCAGAACAACTGGAGCGCATCGAGGAGGGGATGGACCAGATCAATAAGGACATGAAGGATGCAGAAAAAAATTTGAACAATCTAGGACAGTTCTGTGGTCTATGTTCATGTCCCTGTAACAAGTAGGTGCAGCATGTGTGGCCTGACTGCATGTCTCTATATCCGTCGTCCTGCATACGGTGGCACACAGCATGCACTTGTGAGAGTTTGGGGTACATAGACAGAAGCCATGTTTTCATTATAAGACAATAAAAACAAAACAACAATTAACTTAAGTTACAATATTAATCTTGCCATTCAAAGTAACACACAACAAACTGTAACAATATATTGTTTTTATCTGTCTTGCAAAATAATTGCGATAGATACCACCATGCTAAGCTACTCTCTGTGGAGAGGCAACCCTGCTTGCAGTAAAAAGGCATGTTTTTCCAATAATACAGAAATTAGAAATATATGTTCAATGACGTCCTATGGAGAATTAATGGCAAAGGAATGTCATCTCCATGGACACAAGCAGGTGTTGGACTCTCCATCAGAAAAGTTACATGGTGCCCCTTTAATGCAAGCACAGTTCTATCTTTGTGCCCCAGACTAAGCCCAGGTAAAGTTTGATGCGTGCATCAACATAAACATGCCAAATGCTTTATCTTTGGGGATGTGGTCCCTAAAGCCCTTCATTGTTCATTGGATGAGACATTCTTTTTCCCACAGGTATAGCAGCATCAGCACAGCAGCAGTTTGAAGCAAAGCACTAACTCACAATGACACATACACTGAACCTTATCCAGGCCCCTGTTCCACACTCTCCAATGTGACATGTGCTGTGTGTGGAAAACACATCAAATAGTTGCCTTTTGCACTTATTTAATTACTGTACATTCTGTGTCCCATACAGCTTCTTTGATCATCAGTCTGAACTTTCAATGCTTTAAAGCTAGGATGTTGAACAACATTTATGAAACTATTTGATTACCCATTTCTACTCCCTGTCTGTCTCACATAACCAAATCTACCATGCAGGAGTGAGGCAAATTTCTCAGTTGAGCACAGACATATCACCGAAAATTCGTGCTTCATGTTTCATTTTAACTTTAACTTTTGTGTGATGTCTGCAATGGAACCTAAATAAATGGATCCTTTGTCAGCCAAACTATGGCTACTGAGTCATGTCTGAGCAAGTCTGGACACACACAAGCTATAAGAAAACACAAGACAATATGGATTTGTAGATATAGCTTGTTTTTACTTTAGCTCCTGTATCACTCTTTTCATGAAACACTTGTTATGTAATCCTGCGATTATGTCATGCCATCTGATCTACACTATCCACATTGCAGTCGTGGGTCAAATAACTCAAGAGCTATGAGTCTAACACGTTGAACATCTGTTTTGTTTACTTAGTAGTAAGACCTGTGCAGTTTGTTCATTCTTCTCTCACCTAAACAAGGATAATAAGACATGTGCCTATTTCATCAAATAGTTCTGCAGCTTTATGCATCCAGATGAAATGAAGGGCTTAGCATGGCACCTGTGCAGTGTTTTCAGTATGTTTTTTCTTCACAAAACTAACTTCTTGGCTGTTTTTTTTTTTTTTTTTTTTTTTTTTTTTACTATATTTGTGTTTCTGTCCCTTTCTTTGTTGATACCCATCCCATGTTCAATGTTGTACGTTTGCATGTTTGCCTGGCATGTTCTCTCCACCTGTGTGGTTATATTTGTGTTTGTGCATTGTGTGCATGTGGTCTTGTTTAGTGTCAACATGTTCTTTGTGTCTTAATACACGTATGCTTGTGATTAAGTTTTTTTCTAACACAAGCAACATGTAAGCTGTATAAGCTTAAATTGATCTGCATGTGATCAATTATCTTCTAACAATGCATGACATTATGCATGGCATGTTCACATACTCTGGCATGATGCTTTGGTAGGTGAATTGGCATTATTACATGTTACACAAA